ACGGGTCATTAATGGCCACCAGAATCGTTGCTTGACCAAACCGCTGGTACGACTTACTCCTGGATGACAAGCCACGTTGGAACAATGACCCCACCGAATAACGTCGGACCGTAACCCCTCCGGAACAAACAAACGACTCGGTGGGCAACCGGGCGGAGGCGTTACCCCTTCTAAGGCTGTCTTGACCTTCGACTCGACCTCCCATGTGAGGTAAAATACACTCGGGAGTAACCGGGCGTTCGGATGGATCAAAAATACGAGATAAGGCATCGGGTTTGATGTTCTTGGAACCCGGGCGGTACGAGAGAACAAAATCAAAACGTCCGAAAAAAAGTGCCCACCGAGCCTGCCTGGAGTTGAGTCTTTTAGCAGATCTAATATATTCAAGGTTCTTATGGTCGGTCCAAACGATAAAAGGTACCCCTGACCCTTCTAACCAATGTCGCCATTCTTCCAACGCTAATTTGACCGCCAACAACTCTCTGTTACCAATGTCATAATTACGTTCGGCAGGCGACAAGCGATGGGAAAAAAACGCGCAGGGATGCATCTTGTCGTCTGAGGAAACGCGTTGGGAAAGAACTGTGCCTACCCCCACCTCTGACGCGTCGACCTCCACCACGAACTGACGTGTGGGATCAGGGGTGACAAGAATGGGAGCCGAAATAAAACGACTCTTGAGTTTGGTGAATACTGCTTCCGCAGTATCGGACCACCTGAACGCAGTTCTGGGGGAGGTCAAGGCGGTCAGAGGTGCGGCTAGTTGGCTGAAATTGCGAATGAAACGGCGATAGAAATTGGCGAACCCCAGAAACCGCTGTAGGGCCTTACGGGAATCTGGACTTGGCCAATCCATCACAGCCTTAACCTTGTCAGGATCCATGCGCATTCCCTCAGAGGAGACGATGTACCCTAGGAAAGAAACAGACTGTGCATGAAAGTCGCATTTCTCCGCCTTGACAAAAAGCCCATTCTCTAACAATCTCTGAAGCACTCGTCTGACATGTTGAACGTGTTCCTGGAGAGACGAAGAAAAAATCAATATGTCATCCAGGTAAACATATATGAACTGATCGACCATGTCTCTCAACACGTCATTAACGAGTGCTTGGAAAACCGCTGGGGAGTTGGACAGCCCGAAAGGCATGACCAAATATTCAAAATGCCCCCTAGGGGTATTAAAAGCGGTTTTCCATTCATCCCCCTTCCTGATGCGAACCAAATGATAAGCGTTCCGTAAGTCCAATTTTGTGAAAATGGACGCTCCCTGCAACCTCTCGAAAGCTGAAGACATCAACGGCAAAGGATAAGTATTCTTTACCGTGATGTTGTTCAGCTCTCGGTAATCAATGCAAGGTCGCAGAGAACCATCCTTCTTTCCAACAAAAAAGAACCCCGCCCCCGCAGGAGAAGAGGAAGGTTGGATGAACCCAGAGGCTAGAGAATCAGAAATATATTTCTCCATGGCCTCCCTCTCAGAAACAGAAAGAGAGTAAAGTTTGCCCTTAGACGGAGACTTACCTGGTAATAAATCTATAGCACAGTCATAGGGACGATGCGGAGGAAGAGAAGCAGCACGAGACTTACTGAACACTTCCTTCAGGTCGAGGTACTCTGCGGGCACGTTAGACAAATCCACTGCCTCCTTCTGAAACACAGAACCAGACACAGATGAACAGGCAGACAAGAGACATGACTCATGACAGTGGTTACTCCATGAGGTAATGGAATTGTTGTGCCAGTCGATACGTGGGTTATGCTTGGTGAGCCAAGGATGTCTCAGAACTACTGGTGCTAACGGTGAGTCCATGAGAAGAAATGAGATATTTTCCGTGTGATTGCCCGACGTGATGAGTGTGATGGTTTCAGTAGAGTGAGAGATCCTAGGAAGTTCTTGTCCGTTAAGTGCGTTGACAGATATGCGGTGCGTGAGAGAAGTGATTGGAATCTGGAGCTTGGATGCAAAACTGAAATCCATAAAATTACCCTCTGCTCCCGAATCCAATAGTGCTTGAGTGGCGTGCGTTGAGGTTGCCCATCTCAGTCTTACCGGGAGGAGGGTTGATGATGGTGATGAGGACTTCTCGGCGGAGATCCCACCCGATAGTAGCCTCATACTTACTACCGGGCTTGCTCTTTTACTGGACACGAGTAGAGGAAATGGCCAGCCTTGCCGCAGTACAGGCAGAGTCCTTGGGACCTCCGCCTTTCCCTCTCCTCCCGGGAAAGCCGAGCTCTCCCTACCTGCATGGGCTCATGGTCGTAAACTGGGCTGACCGCGCCCCGCTCGCTGGTTCGTGGAACCTCCATGGTTGGACTCGAACGTACCCGATTCGCCGAGCGATTCAAACGTGAATCGACCCTCAGCGCCAGCTCCACTAGACCATTAAGAGATCTAGGCAGGTCCAGGATATAAATCTCTTTCTGGACGCGGTCAGCCAGCCCATGCAGGAACATGTCCCACTGCGCCTCCTCGTTCCAATGGCACTCTGCAGCCAGGGTGCGGAATTGAATGGAGTAATCCGACACCGAGCCATCACCTTGGCGTAGATCGGCGAGTAATCTGGCTGCCTCCTTACCCGCCACCGCCCGATCGAACACTCTTCTTATCTCCTCGGAGAGTGCCTGGAACGAGGCGCAGCAGATGTCCTGGTTCTCCCACACCGCCGTTCCCCAGAGAGCCGCCTTCCCCGATAGTAGAGTTAAAACGAACGCCACTTTGGACTGTTCGTTGGCAAAGGTCCGTGGCTGCAATGCAAAGTGCATAGAACATCTTGTGAGAAAAGCACGGCAGTACTCAGGCTCACCTGAATAGCTCTCAGGCGTGGGCAGACGAGGCTCAGGCAGATTCTCTTGTGGCGGCGGGGGGGGCTGAATCGGCGGTGTGGGCGGCGCAGCGGAAACATGTAGATGTTGTAGACGTTGGGTGAGCTCGGACACCTGTGTCACGAGTGCTTGAACCGCGTGACCTGTGTTCCCGATCTCCTCTCCCTGTTGATCCATCCTTGTGGTGCTGTGCGCGAGGAAATCACTCAGACTGGCCGCACTTGCTGCATCCATGGCTGGTCAGATCGTTCTGTGATGAAACAGTTCGGATACAATTGCAAGTAAAAAGATGTTTATTAAAGATGGTCAGGTCTAACACAGAACACAGGTCCGGGAACAAACACTCAGGTGGAGAAGTGACACAGGGACGTTGATGGGCAATCCGGTGAGTGGTGGTGAAGATCAGCGTGCTCAGGAACCAGGAACAATAAACAATCCAAAAGGCGAAGACAACGAAGAAGATCCACACGATGAGAAGGAGAGAGCCACACGGAACAGGACACGACACCGGGGAAGCCACAACGATCTGACAACATGAGAAGGATCTTACTGACATATAAAGGGAACGGTGATGAACAGCAGCTGGCACAGACAATCAATGGGATTGGAAAACCACGCCCACACAGACACGCATACACACACAAAACAGCAGAATGAGACAGTGGATTCATGAACCGTGACAGTGGATTGATTGATAGATGGATGTATGGATGGATGGGTGAATGGACAGACAGACAGACAAGGCAGATAGATGCATGGATGGATACATGGACAGACATTGATAGATAGATAGATAGATAGATAGATAGATGGATGGATGTATGGATGGACAGATAGCTGAAACATCCAATTAATCACACCAATGTAACAGTCACAGCCAATACAGTGTTTTTGCTTTTGTCAGTCTGAAAAATAGCCTCTCTGATGAAGCCTTCAAAGAAAATGAGATATAGACGTGGAGATGTTCTCAAAAAACGCCGGAGAAATATCACGTCTGAAGTGGACTGTGTCTCTAACATAGGGAATGGGGGTTTTAGATGCTTTGCTGAGATGGACTGAGCGGTCCTAGAGCTTGACAGTCTGCACACATGCTTCTGATGAGGTTTGCTTAATGATGCTGATCTGATGCTGTCTGGAGAAGAGCGCAAACTGGTTTCTGAGCACAGCAGTCTAATTAGGTAGTGCACAATCCTGGAGGCTGCTTTGAAATATTTACTCAGATTTCACATTAGAAGCCACCTCGAGACCGATTGAGTCAAAATGATGAATTTTTAAGTCAAACTGGTACTGGTGAGCGCACTGTTTATTGCGGTAGCAGCTGGTGTCAGATGTGTTTGGGCAACTTGGGCCTGGGAATTGTCTACTCTGTGAAACAAAGGTGCTTCAATATAAGTTAACAAGTGATAATAATCTCTCAAAACCTCCTTTTTTTTAAAGAAATTAGTATTTTTATTCAGCAAGAATGAGATCTGAAGTGACAGTAAATACATGTATAATGTTATTTAAAAAGTCCATTTCAAATAAATGCTGTTGGTTTGAACTTTCTATTCGTCAAATAATCCTGAAATTGATTTGATCACGTTTTCTACAAAAATATTGAGCAGCACAACTGTTTTCAACACTTATAATTATCAGAAATATTTCTTGATCATCAAATCATCATATATGAATGATTTGTGAAGGATCATGTGACACTGAAGACTGGAGTAATGATGCTGAAAATTCAGCTTTGCAATCACAGGAATACATTACATTTTTAAATATATTACAGTAGAAAAAAATAGTTAATAATATTTCACAATATTTCTCTTGTTACTGTATTTTTTATCAAATAAATGCAGCCTTTGGAGAGCATAAGATTTAAAAAAACAAAACCAAAAAAAAAACGTATCGTCCCCACACATTTATACGGTAGCGTGTCTTTGTCCTTCAGAAAATGTAATAACAGTAATGTAAAACGAGCTGAGCAGGATTCTTTGAGGAAGCTGCACTAAAATCTTTTATCTCATAAGATGGATAATTTGATTCCTCATCTTTGTAGTGGTAAAAAACTTTACCTTGAAATGTCTCAAATCTTCAGCAAACCGTTTCAAGCAACATGAGAGAATTGTATTGATATGAAACTGTATTTGTGACACAAACTGTTGTTTTGCCTTGATTTGTTTTTCTCACAGTTCAGCGGTGGGCGTGGGTTTCTATGGAAACAGCGAAACCAACGATGGAGTTTACCAGTTGACTTACTCAATTTATAATGCCAATCACACACTGGGTGGCATTGGCAGTCTGGTAAGAGTTTCACTTCCTTCACCTGTCACTCATCATGTCTCATTTCATTGGAATAGCCTGAGGAACGTTTGTGATTAAATCTGAATTTTGCCTGTTATATGCTGCATGCTGAAAAACGAAGAGCTGGAGCCTCAGGGGCTTTTCGCTGCTGCTGGAATATCATGTGATGAGTGGCAGTGGCACCCCCCCACACACACACACGCACACGCACACACACACACACACACACACACACACACACACACACACACACACACACACACACACACACACACACACACACACGTATACACGCAGGAGTGCAGCACTGCTGCAGGCGTCACTTCTGCCACAGAGCTGTGGTCTGTGTCTGTCACCATTTTAACTTCCAGTGTTTTGAGAAGTTTGAGTTGTTGATTCTAGAAACCTCTCCAGATGCAAACACATCCATCTGGTGTGTATATTCATCCGCAAGAGAAAGCAGTAAGCACTGAGAGAAGACTGGGATTATCTGTTCATCTGCATTAAAGAGGATTAAAAGTCTATCTGTATATCCACATCCACGGATGTGTGGAAATGTTTGTCAATGCTGATCACAGAGCGTTTGAGGACACCCAGTACTGAACAAGAGTGTAATCCACCAGCCGGAAACTGAAGTCTCCCCTGGGGGCCGCCATTGGCTAGCAAGCCTTCACCGGCTGTTAGCATTCCATTGACTCCCATTCATTTTGGTGTCACTTTGACAGCGAATAACTTTACATCTGTGGCGTTTAAAGACTCCATTTGTCCATTGTTTATTTCTAAAGAAACACGACAATGTATAAAAGGCTCCAGTACCTTGTATCTTACGTTATGGCCCCGTAGAAGCAGTTTTTGTAAAAATAGGCTAACGATTGCGTCATAATACGCGACTCTCTGTCGCACAGTAGAGAAATTACCGTATAGACAGGAGGAGAAGCTTGCGCGCAATCGGGGGGACGTGGAGGCGTAAAGTCAAGGGAGAAGCCCATAGAGAGTCATAAAGTTGCTCCTGCTGCTAGCTCATGGACAGCTAATACTCACGATCTCCGGCTCTGCAAGATTCAGAAGGGAATGATTCAGATTCCTCTTGGCACAGCTACTAGAAGACGTACAACCGTCAGAGAGGTTGCTCACGTCACATCTAGGTCGTCAAGCTCAGTTTGAGCCTGCGCAGTTCGCTCAGCCATCAAGAAGTGAGTGTCCATTTCTTTTACTGTCTATGCTACTGAACGACTATCACAGACCACCATTTAATTTAATTTTTATTTTATTTTATTATTTATTTATTTTTTATTTGAACACAGGTAGCTCAAAGTTTTCTGACGAGGATAAACAACAAAAAGAAGTTACAGGCTATGTTGAGAACAGAGTAACTACCTTAAAATTAGAAATTGGAATATCGCATAAAACGGTTGCAATTAAAGCACTGTTTCCATCCCATGTGATTAAGAGAACAAAATTGTCACTTTCTGGGAAATTGGTGCAAAATATCTGTAATAAAAATGGAAGTTGCTGCAATTGGGGAAGAAACTGTGGCTCTTTTTTTCCTCCATCACAAATGGCTTGCATCTCAGAGTGTGTAGACGAAGCACAACAAACTCTGTCATGTTATCTCACGTTCAGATGCCTGTTGTCTGTGAACACAATCATGCAAGACGCTTCTGGGATGTCATTATACCAAATCATTCTGATGACAGACTCTGGCTCAGGCATTTCAGAACGATCAAACCAACATTTGAGATGCTGCGATGCGATTGGTCTGCGGGCTAGTCCAGTTATCCAATCACATCCACCGTTGAGGCAAAATCACGTGAGTTTTCTTGTTGCGCATCGACGGATTTATTCGGTTAATGTGTTTCCATTGTAGTAGATATGCGCATGTCGTCTTATCGGATAAAACATTTATCTGCCTCAGTTGAGCTAATACGTTTTTAATGCACATTTTTTGAATTTATGTGTAGTTTTTCGTTTCCATCCAGAGTTTTTTTTTTTATCCAATATCCCAAAATGTGCATACAAATAGGTGGATGGAAACATAGCATCAAAGTAAGCATCAATGTGATTTTAATGCACATTTTTCAATTGAAAGATCTTCCCTTAAATCGTTTCTTCGTGTTTTAATGGCAATCCCTTACAAAAAAAAGGATGAGCTGTAAGAAAGACTACACTTTTTTTGAGCCAAAAAGCTGAATTTTTCGACTAATCTCAGTCTTTCTTGGAATCGGTGTAGATTAAGTGACAGGTTTACAAGTTCTTTGCTTTCCCATTAAAAAAGTCCCTGTGTTATCTATGCCGAGAATGCACAGTGCATAGGGCGGTTCTTTCAATTCACAGCAATGCTATTTAAAACAACCCACAAACAGTGTTTCCAGCAGCATGTCTCAGATGTGAGGGCTGTGTAATTCAACATACGGCAGGTTGAGTCTGTTAAACAGAGCATTTGGCTGGCAGAACAGTTCTCCTCACACAGCCCTGATGTTCATTACCTGTGGTGACATCCTCTGTTCCTCTAATACTCTTCCTGCTGTCACTCTCTCTCTCTCTCTCTTCTAGTGTATCGTTGGCTCACTCGCGTATAATGCATTGCTTCGCGGTTGGGCGGTCATATCTAAATGAGCTGTCTGGAACAGACTTTTCACTGTTTGCTGTAACTAAAACAACATTCAGAATGTGAGAACAACAAACAGCCCTTGGCTTCACTAAAATGGCATAAATCCAATTTCAGCTTTAGTGAACGTCTCTTTTAAAAACTGAAATGCAAAGAGGACCAGTCTGAAGGCCAAGCATGATTGCACAACTGAATTCATGAATGCTGAAAAGTGAGGAGGGAGTTTTCAGACCTGCCAAGTTTTTTAAATGGCTTCTGCCAGTGGTTGCGTGCCAGAAAATAGCTGTTGCAACCGTGAGTAAATGGGTGTAGCGATTGCCATTTTGCATGCGTCTAACTTTATTTCAAACAGTGTCAACACCTTCCACAAGGGCACTGACTCTAATGCATGAATTTTGCTCTTATCAATCTTAATCTTTACAAATCTTAATTACGCTTTCACCATCTCGAAATTATGAGTTCTTTTTGTGCTCGGGTTACTACCCGAAACCCGAAGTTACATAGTGCGAGTAAAAGCGATACAGACCACGTCAGGCTATGGCAGACGTGTCATTTAAACTATTGTAAGTCGATGTACCATCACAAGGGTCTTGGAAATATATTATGAAGGTTGAAAAGTTCCATAGTGTTGCTTTAACCAGAATAAGCTACACTAGACTGTCTAAATAGCACATTGTCTGTATCCATTTTAAAGTTTGTTATTAGACATCACATCATTAATAATGGATCAGTACATCGGTGAGTGTTTGCATGCTAAAAAAAAAACAGTTAATTTGCTTGAGTCTGTCCATTTGTCCTCTTCTTTCCCTCTTTTTAAAGGCCACCATGTGGTATTTCTGGTAAATCTTAGTCTTGGCAATAATTGCTCATTCTGCTTTCGTTTCAGTGAAATGCAATATGTAGCTCTTTTGAATAATAGCTCTATAACTACAAAACTCGACTGCTTTACGGCATACGTCACTTCCCCCACCACTTCCTTAAATTGTCTATGGCCATTGCAGACATCCCAAGTCTATAGCGTCTCCCTGATGCCCGCAAATTAGTTAAAATCTCCCGGAATCTAGAGCGCGCATGCGAGACAGAACATACTGCGCGCAAAACATACATAGCGCGAGCACGGCAGAGAGGGAGAGAGCGAGAGACATTGCGAGTGTGCCTCACGAAAGCTAGTCAACCCGCCACCCCCCGTCAACAATCCAGTCACCAAGATATACCTCCCTGAAATGACTTCTTGCAGGTTGGGATGTCTGCCATTGTTGATTCCAAAGCCGGTGCTGGATAAACAGTAGGCTGCGGTAGGCTAAATTATTTACGACAGCGGTAATGGACAATTCCCCTTCCAACCCGTAGGGCGACTGCAGAGGAAAAGTTCCTTGGTGTTGCTTTAAAATAAGATGTCTGACTTATGAAATGACTAGGTGTTAGGACCTGAAAAATTGTATGGCACACTTATAGTGTGGTGAGCAGCAAAGTGGTAACTAATACAGATGATGTCGTAGCAGTCTCCTATAAAGGTTGAATAGAAAAACATGTACTGCTTTCTTCCACAATTGGTTTGATTGTTTGGTATGAACCTGAGTTCTACCCCTCCCCTCAGGGTTGTGCACCATTCAGTTCTCACAGGCCGATACATGGATGGGTCTCTTGGTAAATTCGGGCCAACAAAACAAAGGCTGTATTGTTCAAAGCAATAAGTGCAGAATATTTCATGGTCATAACTCTGCACCTAGGCAGGCAGTCAAATAGCAGTAATATGACAAAAGCCTTCTGAAAGCATAATTGATTCTCCTCCAGCTTCAGTGAAGCTATCAGAAACAGTGAAGAAGCTGACTTCAAACTTGTTTGTTACTTTCTGAACAAGTTTTGAGCCTAGCACTTGTGAAGACCACCTTAGTATTAACAATGGACGGTCAGCCAAAACATGAGCTTACTTCCTGCCATATATCATCTTCAGCTTCTTCAGGGTCCTTTATGCCCAGTGGCATGTTGGGCAGCATCAAATGTTTGCCACAGACAGACAGGGTTTTGGGCCAGCTTCTGGATGGTACCCCAGGTGTGGTTCAGGGCCTTCGGTTCCGCTTCCACTGTTCGACACCAGGTGTGCTTGGGTCTTCCACTCTTTCTTTCACCCTCTGGTGTCCAGAAGAGGGCAATCCGGGCGATGTCATCTTGTTCCCTTCGGATGACTAGTCCAATCCATCTCCATCGCCTTCTCAGTCATGAGGATGGTTTCCATAATTTCTTGCTTGTACCGGGCGAGTATTTGTTGGTTAGAGATGGTTTTGGGCCAAAAGATTTGCAGAATTCTCCAGAGGTTCTTTTTGTGGAAGGTTGACAATTTGGTAAGATCGTTCTCTGTCAGTCTCCAACATTCAGAGCCGTAAAGTAGGATGGAAAGGACGCAGCTCTGGTACAGTCTCAGTTTAGTTTGGGTGCTTTATTGTAAGGATCTCCACACATTGTTCAACATAATATGTATCATAGTTTATAACAATTTCACACTTTTAATGTAAATGTTTTCCAATAAAAGTTGTTTAGCTTGGACTCTTCTTTAATCTTTTTCATTAATAAGTTATGATGAACGCAATGACAAACATAAAACAAAGCATGAGGGTATTGTTTTTTAACCCTCTCACTTTCTAAAGGTGTCTTCGGTTACCTTTTAGTTAGTGAATTTTCGCGGGTGAAATCACATTTCAATAGGCTCAGAAATTCTACGTGAGAGTGAAATATTTCCCCACACAGATTTCGCAATGGTTCAAGTCACACAAATTTGATGTGTTAGCTAAGAGAAGTGAGTTCCTGTGCATTATACATCCCTATATTATAGACAATGGATCTTTTTGCACGCTACATTTTGCTAATGTGGCCACACCGAGTCATACAATTTTCAGAAATATTTCAATTTTTAGAGCTAGCTGAATCTAATTGTGATTGATGACTGCATTTTGCTGTCTTGTACTGTTTCTTCTAAACTAGCTTCTTTCTGTCCCGTCTAGCCTTATTCTTAATTCTCTGTCCTCAAAATAGGAGGATAAGACCCCTCACTTTGTTCAAAACTCATCTTTCAAAAATGTTTAGCTTACATATCCACTGGCTTGGGAGAAACTAGATCAAGACCTGTCAATGAGATATCCCACTTACTTGGGGGATGTTACATTTGCAAAAGTCAGTTTGTCAAGTATGTGTGGATCTCAACATTCTTTCAAATATCTATAATAATTAAACAAACAAAAAAATCTCAGCTTTTTGTCACTCTCGCCACTTTGCTTCTTTGGCAATCCCATGATCACCCGTGCATGCCTCCCACTCCCATAGAGAATTAATTGGAAACGGCCATTCATCCATTAGCCTGCTAATAGTGATCAGCAATTTTCTTTGTCTCTGCTCTCAGGTTGGAAACTCATTGGGTAGTATGCAGGTCGGGCTGAAGGAGCATCTGGAGCGGTTGGATGAGATATTTTCTCCACGGGGAGACTACACCCAAACCTTGCGCTTTATGCAGCAGATGGCCGACAACATTATCCAGCAGCTGACAGCCATGCCAGACACAAGGAAGGTGCAAGTGGATTTGGCAGCCATCGCAGACCAAACTGCATTCATAGAGTACTATAGGTGAGCTGCTTTGAGCTGGTGGGGTAAAGTTGGCTCATTTACTTCACTTCGTGCACTTGAAATATTTTACAACATCATGTCCTATGTCTCATCAGAGGTCAAAGACAGGTTGGCTCTATTTACTCTTGAGACTGCTGGTGTAGATGTGGGTCAGAAATGTGTCTGAATGTTGTAGATGCCCTTGCTCGTCAAACATGTGACCCTATTTTTCAAACTACTAGCCTTCTCAAATAGGGCTGTGTATCGGCAACAAAGTCACGATACGATACGATATATATCACAATATGGGTCTGCACTAAATTTTACCTCAGCAGAAGGGGGTATAAAAGCTGTTTATTAAACACTGCATACTATAGGGCCATTGCTAACTATAGATAGTTGCCCTCTGCATTATGAAGGGCCTCTGTAGCACTGTATAACAATATGGCATAGGTGTCATGTTAATATTGGGCTCTCCTCAAACATGTGACCCTATTTTTCAAACTTCTGGCCTTCTTAAACATGTGACCCTATTTTTCAGACTTCTGGTCCTGCTCATCAAACATCCGACTGTTCAAACTTCTGACCCTATTTCATAAACATTTGACCCTATTTTTCAGACTTCGGGTCCTGCTTCTCAAACATGTGCCCTATTTTCAGACTCGGCCTTCCCAAAATGTGACCCTATTTTTCAGACTTCTGGCCCTGCTCCTCAAACATGTTACCCTATTTTTCAAACGTCTGGCCATGCTCCTCAAACATCCGACTCTATTTTTAATACTCATAGCTCTACTCCTCAAACATGTGACCCTATTTTTCAGACTTCTGACCCTACTTCTCAAACATGTGACCCTATATTTCAAACATTTTGCCCTGCTCCTCAAACATGGGACCCTATTTTTCAGACTTCTGGTCCTGCTCCTCAAACAAGTTACCCTATTTTTCAAACATATGGCCTTCTTAGACATGTGACCCTATTTTCCAGACTTCTGGCCCTGCTCCTCAAACATGTGACCCTATTTTTCAGACTTCTGACCCTACTTCTCAAACATGTGACCCTATATTTCAAACATTTTGCCCTGCTCCTCAAACATGGGACCCTATTTTTCAGACTTCTGGTCCTGCTCCTCAAACAAGTTACCCTATTTTTCAAACATATGGCCTTCTTAGACATATGACCCAATTTTTTCAAACTTTTTGCCCTGCTCCTCAAACACGTGACCCTTTTTTCAGACTTCTGGTCCTGCTCCTCAATCATGTGACCCTATTTTTCAAACTTCTGGCCTTTTCAAAAATGTGACCCTATTTTTCAGACTTCTGGCCCTGATCCTCAAACATCCGACTGTTATTAAAACTTCTGACCCTACTTCTTAAACATGTGACCCTATTTTTCAGACTTCTGGTCCTGCTTCTCAAACATGTGCGCTATTTTCAAACTTATGGCTTTCTCAAAATGTGACCCTATTTTTCAGACTTCTGGCCCTGCTCTTCAAACAAGTTACCCTATTTTTCAAACATATGGCCTTCTTAGACATATGACCCAATTTTTTCAAACTTTTTGCCCTGCTCCTCAAACAAGTGACCCTTTTTTCAGACTTCTGGTCCTGCTCCTCAATCATGTGACCCTATTTTTCAAACTTCTGGCCTTTTCAAAAATGTGACCCTATTTTTCAGACTTCTGGCCCTGATCCTCAAACATCCGACTGTTATTAAAACTTCTGACCCTACTTCTTAAACATGTGACCCTATTTTTCAGACTTCTGGTCCTGCTTCTCAAACATGTGCGCTATTTTCAAACTTATGGCTTTCTCAAAATGTGACCCTATTTGTCAGACTTCTGGCCCTGCTCTTCAAACAGCCGAACCTATTTTTCAAACATTTTTCCCTGCTCCTCAAACATGTGACCCTTTTTTTTTTTTACTTTTCACCCCGCTCCTCAAACATGTGATCCTATTTTTCCAGTCTTCTGGCTCTACTCCCTAAACATCTGACCCTATTTTTCAAACTTCTGGCCCTAGTCATCAAATATGTGACACTATTTTTCAGACTTCTGGCCTTCTCAAACACATGACCCTATTTTTGTTTTTACTTATAGCTCTTCTCCTCAAACATATGACCCTTTTTTTTTTTCAAACATCTGGGGCCTCATTTATAAACGTTGCGTACGCACAAAAGAAGACGTACGCCGCTCTCTACGCAATAATTGGTATTTATAAAAAGCAAACTTGACGGTAAAATGTGCGGTCCTTCACGCAAGCTCTGACCCAGGCGTACGCACAAAAACGGGTGAAATGAGAAATGGCGACACCATCGGCAGATGGAAGAAACACGTGAAAGTGTGTGAAACTGCAATACTGCCTCTCATAAATAACACAAAGACTTCACAAAGCAAGTAGCCTATTACAATTAACAGCCTACACGAACACCTGTTTGATCGATCTGCAACAGAAATGCAAATTAACACATATTTGCAAAAAGAAAAGTGAAATATGTTCTGCAATAATATTGGCATGTTATACAATTCATCCTCATAAATAAGATGGTAAACAGAACGAAATAATGTACAAAACTGATATTCTCGCCAATGTGTCCGTCTGGCGGAGCAGATATAGCTAGATATAGCTAGAGAGTCAGTCAGATAGATAGATAATTAGGGAGAGATAGATAAATAAATAAATAGATGTATTATTTGTCCACTGGGGAAAGTTGTTTTCATAGTAAAAATGTCTTTATCAGCTACGGAATCATGGTATTCATGCAGGTATTTCATGCATATGCCTTTAGTTTGTTTTATTTTTGATAAAATAACGTATGACGTATGTCTCAACCATTCAGAAAGCTGCAAGAAATTACATTTGCGCTGAACTATTTCCCATTTCCAAGTAGATTATAACCGACATCTGTAGCTTGTCATTTCTTTTTTATTTCGGCCACAGTCCGAGGTTGTGAGGCTACAGCATTTACAGCGTCTGCAACCTTTTGCCACTCAAGTGCCTTTTTGGCATTAGTAATGGCCACACTGTGCCCTCCAAACAACATTTTTTCTCCTCTTTTCCACCTCGCCAACGATAACTTCTACTTCACATTGAGTGAAGTTACGTTTTTTTGATTTCCTCTCTATGTTTGCCATGATTTCGCAATCGATGAATATTAACTTGTGGGCGTTTCACAGACTATTTGTGGGCAACTATGGGCGTGACAAGCCGCAAAAGCTGCGCTACATTTAGAATTGATTGTGATTTATTAAGGGAAAAATGCGTAGGATGTGCGTGCGCACGGTTTTATAAATCCGAATATTTCTGTGCGTACGCACGTCCTATGTTTCATCCGTACGCCACTTCTGACGCAAATCCTACGCAAAGTTTTATAAATGAGGCCCCTGACCTTATTCCTCAAACGTGTGACCATATTTTTCAAACGCCTTACTTCTCAAACATTTGACCATATTTTGCATACTTCTGACCTACTCCTTAAACATATGACCACTTTTCTAAAACTTTGTCCATTACACCTCAAAAATGATGGCCCTACTTCTCAAACATGTGACCCCAAACTCCTCAAACATTCTGCCCTACTCCCCCCTCACCCTACTTGTTTATCTTTACTGGCACTACTACTGTATCTCATGTGTACTAGGTTGCTTTTGGAGCTGTTAGTCTTGTTGAATTGATTTGTATGTCCTCCTAGAAGATTACATTTCCATTTGTAGACCTGCGCGTTATGAACTTGCAGTGCATGTATTGACAAGTAGCTAGTGTTTCAAACAGCTAAAGGACTGTGCTATTGAGCAGCAGCGCTCAAACCTCTCTTCCTCCATTACTCGTGGGCAAATCTAATCGCCCAACCTCTGGACTCCCTTCCTTGATTCATCATACACCTCTGTCTCCATATATTTCACTCGTTCCCTCCCTCTCTTTCTGTCTCAAGATATGTGAGCATTTTTAAGTCCTCATGGTGTAGGATTACTGATCGGATTGTGGTTTGCCAGGCATTCCAATAGCACACCAAACCATGTAGACCTTGAATCAATGCAGTACAGAAAATACAGCACATTACATGTGGTTTCAATTTTTTTGCTGGCTCTGACATTAGTAAGAAAACTGTGCCCTACTTATTAGGCCATTTTGTAAATCTTTTATTAAAATGTTATGAGTTCATAAGACATAACAAACAGTGCGTCTGATCACCGGAAGGAACACCTTCTCAGTTCTCAGCGTGAGCTGTTTGGCAGATTGTCCATTCTCACATACTAGGCTGGAGCTCATGAAATTCTTATGTCTACTTGGTCTGTTCAATTATTAATCGTATAGATGGGAAACATACAACGGAAGAATAATGTGAGTGCCATAAACACCCACTTTTAAAGTCATACTTAGAGACCTGCTGACAGCACACTCCCACATCACACAAGATGAATATTAATATTAAAGCTGTCAATTGATTTTTTAAAAATGCAAGTGAATGAGATGATACACAGTTTAATTAATCAAATTATATGGACATAATCACATATAAGCAACGTTTTCTTAGAAGAGCACTGAAGATAATTCTAAGACATGGTTATTATGGCAGACTTTGTATAAATATTATAAAAAATGGCTTAGTAAGTCATTATGTTGTTTGTTTCCATATCATTAAACATAAGTATCTATTGGCCTACAGTCCACAGCAATCCATTTTGAATAAGAGGGGCATAATTAAAGGTGTAAAACGCAAGTCTCTGAGTTTTTGCAGAACTACGCCCCCTCTGGCGACAAGCGAAACTGCAACCGGAGTTGTGCACGCTCATGGACCATTCACGGGAACAATTTACTATTTTTACCGAAAAAGACAATATAGCCAATGCAATGCAATACCTTAGCATGTTAGCAATGGACACAAGGCTAACGTTACCGGTAGGCCATACACAAAAACATAGTTAGCATCTTTTATTGGATATGTTTTACATTTACATTTTACATTTATTCATTTAGCAGACGCTTTTATCCAAAGCGACTTACAAATGAGAACAATAGAAGCAGTTAAACTAACAGTAGGACAACAATACGTAAGTGCTATAACCCCTCTCAGTTTAATTTTAGTGCAGTTTTTTTTTTTTTTTTTTTTATAGAATAGAAGAGAAGAGAAAGTGTTAATTCTACTGAATCAAGTGCTGCCGAAAAAGATATGTCTTCAGCAGTTTCTTGAAAGTGGCTACTGACTCAGAAGCTCTGGTTGAGTTAGGCAGATCATTCCACCAACAAACAAACATTGTTGTTTTATGTTTCATGTTGTACTATTCTTCCGAACACAATTCCTAGTTTATGAAACTGTTCAATAACAATGGTAGTAAAACCAATTCTGATTGTACATGTATCTAGCTTATGCTAAACCATTACACATTTTACGCATCGTCATTTGTTGTCATACATAGATTGGCCATATCAAACATTAGAGACTGGGCTATATCTTTTCGTTTTATCAAGAAAAAAGCCAACTGAGGATCCCGTTTGAGACCAAGAGCAGAACGGAGATCTCTCCATTTGTTGAATGCCTTCCCGAGGTTGACTCTCGTCTTACTCCGACGCCTGTCTGACTCCAATTTGGACCTTTTGGTGGCACTAGACAAAATTGTTCTTTTCTTTACTTTACGTGGAGTTTGCGTTGGGGTTTTGGAATGGACTACAAGCCGGTCTCTTTGAATCCATCTTCTACCTTTGACGCACGAGTTGTCTTCGCTGATGCGGAGAATGGCGGCGCCGGCGAATACACAAACCTGCGAGACATAGCCTGGTGAGCGTGAATGCGCATGACGTCACGCCCAGTGTCAAATTCGAGCCCGAATCCCTCTTATATATTTTACTGTACAGGATTATAGAGGCAATCTCAGTGCGCAGAGAAGGGCTCATTCAGCCCATCAGGCAGTTCTTTAAGCATGTATAGGATAGAAAAACAGGTATTTTGCGCAATGCACCTTTAAGTGCATTATATTTTCATCACAGTTTTTGTTATTAAATAATTCCAATTAATGTGCACAATTACATTGAACGGGCCTAATTCAAAATAGAAAACATATGTATTTGAACATTTCCTTCCGTCCTCATCTTTGTTTGCTTTCTTTCAGATGGTTAACGTACCTGCTGCTTCTGATTTTGGACTTGGTCATCTGTCTCTTAGCATGTCTGGGATTGGCAAAGCAGTCTCGATGGCTGTTCGCAGTGTAAGTTTGCTCTAAATATGTATGGTGTAGACACCTGGCTTTGGCGATTAGTATGACCTTTTATTGTAAACATAAAGCCATTTGATGTCAACATTGAGATAGGATGAAATATGTACTTGTATGCGTATGTACACAATGAGTCAAATGTCATTTTACCTGTATTTCAGCATGTATATAATCCTTCCTCGTTTTCAATTGTTTGTTTAGTGTTGCAGAATTGTTTCTCGCTGCTAGCTTAAATCCCCTGACATAATCAGACCTCTGTGGAAAGACTCTGAGTGCATCGAGTGCGGTGGTTAGCCAGTCGCCAGCGAGCCCTGCCTTTCCTCTCTCTCTCTCTTGCCTTATTGGAAGCTCCTTTTGATCCATCCCCACTTACCCCACTAATGCTTATTGATCTCTCTGCCCACGTGAGCGTGCGCTCGCCCTTAACTAATTACTACGTGCTTCCAATCCTCTTTATTGGTGCTTTTAAGACCATCTTCAGACGAGAAAGCCTGTTTGAGGAAACGTCGGCTCCATTTTCCATGGCCACCAGGGAGCCGTTTACCCCATTCATCTTTTGACTTCCTGTTTACTCACGTGATCACTCACATGCTCAAATGTTTGATCACTTTCTCATTGGTTAACATCTTCATTAATTTGTTTCTTACTACTTACTTATTAAGTTACTTACTTACGAAGTCTTATCTAGGTTAATTTTTGAATGCTTCAGTGACTTCAAGAATCTTATCATGTTAGCACAACGTAGAGTTTATGCTCATATGCAGTTGATCAATGAAACGTTTCCTGCTAGACACACATTCAGCAGGTCCTTTTGCAATATTCTTAATTATGAACATTATGATATGGAACAACATTCCAATCAACCGATCAGATTTGAGGGACAGTTGATGTCAAGTTTAGGCTTACAGCCAGGGTTAGGTGCTTCTACATCAGTGTTGTTCACCATCATTTTCCTCTGATTTTTAGGGGTAGAAATAGAGTTAGGGCTACATTTTTTTGACAGGAATGTTGTCCCAGGATCAACAAAATATGTTGATCCAGGAACCAGTCTGTCTTGGCAAAATCATGGTGACCTGAGAGCAGCTACTTAAAGTAACAACGGATTTACTTACTAACTGGAAGTTTAGTTGATATTCATTTACACAATTTGTAATTAATGGTGTTTTAATACAAATAGTATTATACTTTAGTAGTATAAGTATCATAGTAGAATTCTGCAGGAAACACTGATCTAGATGTTTTATCAGATATGCATTATATTTAACAGAATGCTCTATCACAGACCTTTTGGCGATCTTATTATGGGCTAGATTAGCTAAATCTACATACACTTCTGTTCAAAAGTTTGGGTTCAATAATTGTTTTTAAATTAATTTATTAATGCTTTTAGTCAGCACAAGGATTCATTAAATTGATCAAAAGTGACAGTAAATATAATGTATAATGTTACAAAGGTTTTCTGTTTCAAATAAATGTTGTTCTTTTGAACTTTCTATGCATAAAAGAATCATGAAACAATTGTACCACCAAAATATTAAGCAGCACATCTGTTTTCAACATCGATAATAATAAGAAATGCAAATCAGCATATTAGAATGATTTCTGTAAAATCACGTGACACTGAAGACGTGATTATTGATGCTGAAAATTCCACTTTAAAATATATTCAAGTAGAAAACTGTTATTTTAAATTGTCATAATAATCACAATATTACTGCTTTTACTATTTTTGGTCAAATAAATGCAGCCTTGGTGAAAAAAATCAAAATTATTTCTTTGTTGAGAATCTTTCAAAAACCTTCACAAATCCTACTGAGCCCAAACTTTCGAACGGTAGTTTATAGTTTTATTTTTGACCTCACGTCTAACTGTTATTCCTTCACTTTCTCTCTTTTTTGTCCATTTCAGTATTATGGTGTGTGGGGTACTGACCCTGATCATGAGTTGGGCATCATTAGGAGCGGGCACGGCCACAGCTGTGGTAAGTTACTGCGTTTTCACATGACTGCGCACTTTAAATGCCATTTGATCAGTGTCCAGTAACCATATTAGTCACTTCATTCACTGACGCTATCCTGGAGTTTTTATTCTAAAAAACAATGTGAATGTTTGCAAGTGGGGGAAGAGGGGGCGTGAGCTGTGTGAAACTCTTAGGAGATTATCAGGGTTCAGTGACTGCATTTGTGTGTCTCGTGGTGCATGCCAGTTTGCAAAGCTGATTACAAAGCCGTGGTCATTTAAATTAGACAGTCCGCTGGCTTAACGGAGGTAAACAGTTTTACTCTCTGTGCCACTAAACATGCCAATTTACTCATGTCTCGCCTCTGTCTTTATCTTCATCTCTCGGGCTGCATTATAATGACTGCAAACTCTATTTATTGTTCTGAAGGTGCTTTATATGTAGTCTTGACTTGTATTTAGGAATACAGTGATTGGGTGTCCAGAACATTAGTCCCTTGTTCATGATGTCACAAATGTAATGAAGGGGGATCTTTAAACTTTACTGTGACGCACTTACCTGACATCAAACATGCCACTTTTCATTAGTAGTCCAAATCCTCAACCATGATTCTACCACTACCTCCACATGTTGTTTTTTTTACTTACAAATGCTGCCAGAAGCTATTTGCATTGTCAAGAATCGTTATCTTCTGTAAAACACCATGTATTATGATAAATGTATGTGAGTTCAATAAATTATAGTTATGTAAGCAAAAAAAAAAGAGCAATCAAGCATTGCTGATATTCATACCAATAGAGTGATTGCGAGTGATATTGCTTATTATATCAACACCACGTTAATATTTCAGTAACTTATATTTCAGCATTGCCAGTTACTTTGTCGTTTTTTTTTTGCTCTGCCAACAAAAATAGTTACAAATGAAGGTACAGCAGAATGACATTTCAATTCTGAATTCTGAAAGAGTTGTCTTTGAACAACTCAGTATGAAAGATTTAGTGACTCACACTTAAAGGCAGTTGTTTCACTCCGCAATCCTTTTTTTTTTTACGTACTAACAGAATAACTACTCATAAAGACATTCACTTGTCACCCCCTACTGCTTTTTTATATTAGGTTATATTAGGAATATAAGAAACGTACACTGAATGCATAAACATATCCATTTTTTAACCCTTTTTGATGTATTCTGGGTCATATCTTGCTTAGCTTGGTTCATGGCTTTGAGGATGTAGAAACGTCACTCAACCTGTCCATCTGTTTAATACGACTAGTTTCTACCTAGAGATTAATTTAATATACTGTAGTGTACAGTTTGATTTGATTCACAGCCTGTTTCAACCACAAAATAAATGGGAAGTTTCTCTTTAAAAGTTGATAAGTCTATTTATTTTGCCATTCTTCTCACTATTGTATAATTGCAATGGTATGTCAGAAAAAAAAACCCACCATTGCACTATTGGAGTATAGCTGTGCTGGGTGCAAACCTGGATGCAAATTGACGTTTGGTAAAGAAAAGAAAAATGTATAGATTAGGGCTGTTAATGAGTTAGGGTTAGGGTCACATGCGATTAATCTTTTTCCAGTTTATCGTGTTAAAATATTTAACCATAACCATCCTCATAACATAAGAGCAGTCTTAAATGAGTTAAATAAAGTCTTAAATGAACGTAAAGAGTTGTGAGAGAATGAGGCGCGTGTGAGATCCGCGTCATGGTCTTAAAGGGACAGCAGCCAATAATGCTGTCTGTCAGTAAAGTTAATTAAAGAACTAAAGCAACAGAGAAAATTACTCACTGCTCTTGACTAAAGAACTTTTGAAGCTTTAATAAGGATTAGTCTTTATTTAATCTATAATTTATGCAGTGCAGACTGTTTGATAACTTTATTCAATGTCTGGATATTGTTCTGTACATGTTAGACAGGAAAACCGAAAACCAGTCAGTATGTGGTGTGACCACCATTTGCCTCACGCAGTGCGACACATCTCCTTCGCATAGAGTTGATCAGGTTGTTGATTGTGGCCTGTGGAATGTTGGTCCACTCCTCTTCAATGGCTGTGCGAAGTTGCTGGATATTGGCAGCAACTGGAACACGTTGTCGTATACGCCGATCCAGAGCATCCCAAACATGCTCAATTGGTGACATGTCCGGTGAGTATGCTGGCCATGCAAGAACTGGGTTGTTTTCAGCTTCCAGGAATTGTGTACAGATGCTTCCAACATGGGGCCTATCATGCTGCAACATGAGGTGATGGTCGTGGATGAATGGTACAACAATGGGCCTCAGGATCTCGTCACGGTGTCTCTGTGCATTCAAACTGCCATCAATAAAATGCACCTGTGTTCGTTGTCCATAACATACGCCTGCCCATACCATAACCCCAACGCCACCATGGGCCACTCGATCCACAACCGCTCACGCACACGACACCATACACGCTGTCTGCCATCTGCCCTGTACAGTGAAACCCGGGATTCATCCGTGAAGAGAACACCTCTCCAAAGTGCCAGACGCCATCGAATGTGAGCATTTGCCCACTCAAGTCGGTTACGACGACGACGAACTGCAGTCAGGTCGAGACCCCGATGAGGACGACAAGCATGCAGATGAGCTTCCCTGAGACGGTTTCTGACAGTTTTTGCAGAAATTCTTTGGTTATGCAAACCGATTGTTGCAGCAGCTGTCCGGGTGGCTGGTCTCAGACGATCTTGGAGGTGAAGATGCTGGATGTGGAGGTCCTGGGCTGGTGTGGTCAGACGTGGTCTGCGGTTGTGAGGGCGGTTGGATGTACTGCCAAATTCTCTGAAACGCCTTTGGAGACGGCTTATGGAAGAGAATGTGTTTGGGATGCTATGGATCGGCGTATACGACAGCATGTTCCAGGTCCTGCCAATATCCAGTAACTTCGCACAGCCATTGAAGAGGAGTGGACCAACGATCCACAGGCCACAATCAACAACCTTTTTTTTTTTTTTTTTTTTACACCAAAACAGGTAACTCTACTACAGACAGCTCTACCGTGAGCATGACTGTGATTAGAGTCACAGCTGACACTTCAATCAGGATGTATGTGGGGAGCAGGACCTAAGACTGCTCAATGAGGGGTCAGAGCAAAGGCCAGGCCCCGCGGTAAAGTGGATTACTCCAGCAGTGCTTGACTACATCGAGTGGAAAGAAGCATTGCAGGGATGTGTGACTTGCACGGCTGCATTCAACTCTGTTTTTTTTTTTTTTTTTTCAGAGAGAATTTCCTGTTGGAGCCCCATGTGTACCACCCTGATTGATTGATTTTGAGAAATAAATAAATTAAGCATTAATAAGGAAATTTAACCCTAAAAATGAAATAAATTGATAAGAAACAAATCAATGATAGGGATAGATAGGAAGCAGTAGACAAATAAAATATATGATTATAAATCACCTAGTTAAAAATTTTCAGTGATATTTATTTATCTTAAAGTTCCCCCTGTAGTCAATGATTGTTATTGTAGTAGTAGTAGTAGTAGTAGTAGTAGTAGTAGTACTTTATTGTTCAGCCTTGGCTGAAAATTGGTCTTTGGTCACGCCATACAATCACAATACAATTAACAATACACAATATACATACATAAGAATTAAAATATTCACATTTACTTCCTCTTATTCAAAAGACTTATTGCATTTGGTACAAAAGATTGTTTATGTATCGCTTTAATCGCTTGGTGTTCTATAGCGACGACGTGATGGCAATAATTCAAAAACATGATTCAATGGGTGTGTTGTGTCTCTTGCTATAGTCAAAGTTTTCCTCTGAACAGCAATTTTATATAACTGTGCGACTGATTTTTGTTGACAATTTTTCCTGCGACTCTTGTAATTCTGTCTAATTTTACTTTATTCACAGATGTAACTCGTCGTTGTATCCCTTAAAACTCATCTTTAATCACCGAAATGACATATTTAAATGTTTTTTCCTAGAAAAAAAAATCTTCAAGCCTTAAAATGGCTTGAGTGTACACCCTTGCCTCATTTAGTATACGTGGTTCAATGAATATGGAAATGAGCCCCGCCTCCATTCACTCACACCAGCTCAGAGACATATAAACAACATTAAAAGCTTGATTTTCCCCACAGGGGGACTTTAAGAATTTAAATTAAATGGTTAACAGTATCAATGTTTTTATTAAATTCTTATTTTTGATTATTAAATTATCTATTTATCCTCGTGTCTATAGATCTCATGATTGGTTTAGTTGATTAGTTATTTTTGTTTTGTAATTGATTTATTGATTTCTTATTGATTTATTGATGAGTTCCCACATTACTGCACGTAGTCTCAAATACATGTAAAATCTAAAATACGCAATGAATTTGGATTTGCTAAGTTGGATGTACTTTATATTGGTCCTGGAACGACAACGTTCTGGTCCAACAAACACCCCTAGTCATTACCCCAACCCTAACTTTACCGAGGAAATGATAAGCCTAATGCTAAAATTAAAATCTGGTTGGTTTTGCCGTCCAGTATGTGCCATCCAGATCTGAATGCATGAATGAAATTTCAGAGCTTTGTCAGAGGGGAGAATTATAAGTGCACAACAATTTAATTAGAAACAATATTGATGACGTTTTCCCTTAAGAAGGTTTCAGGTAAAGGTTCGTTCTGTTCGTTCGTTCTTGTCGCCCACTAATTTAAGCTTGGCCATCCACAGATCTTCACAATAGAATTTTCCCCTGTGTGAACAGCTCATATGGTCCTGACATTCAGCAAAGGTCTTAGGCGCTGTTTACACCTGGTGTTAAGATGCATTTTGGTTGATCGGATCACAGGTGGACGGTGCTAAATACAGGTGTAAGCGGGGTCTAAAATGTTTTGAGCTTGTCGTTGTCACTTTCGACCACTTCCAGACGTAGTCGAAAACACATTTTACCGGATTGCTTTTGCGGTGTAAACGCTCATGTGATCGAATGTGTTTGAACAAACACAAAAGGCCGCCTTCTCTGCCTACCGACCTCATGCGTAAACATTATGAGAAGCGCACTAGCCAGACGAGATTTAAACTTTGTTGCTCATTTTCTCCCACCCCTAGTCTTGTATGTCAGAGCAGAAACAAAAGCTGCTGCTCTCCTTATGTTTTTCCGATGTCTACTCTTGCAAATATCACAACCCTTTATGTGTGAACGCTGTAATAACATCCACAAAATTATTTGTGGCACTGGCCTCTCAACATCAGAATTGTCCATGCGAATTTGTTATTTGTTCTGTTTTAGGGCACCAGTGACTTTTGTGTCTCTCCTGACAAGTTCATTGTCAATCAAACCAAAGACTCCTTAAGTGCAGGTAAGTCATATTTCATAACTTCACATGCCTGTGTCCTTTCCACAAACCAGAAAGGACAGCTGATCCACATGTAACCATGAAACCATGCTGAGAACTTGCAGATGTCTTGGTGGAAGAGTGTAGTAACATCCAGTGTTGTGCAAGTTACTTCCAAACTGTAATACATTATACATTACTTGTTACTGTAATTTAAAAGTAATTCATTACCTTACAATATTACTGTCTCAGAATTGTAATGCGTTACATTACTCCTGTATTACTTTTGAGTTACTTTCACCAAAATACCTATACAGTAGTAGAACTTAACATTCTAAGGCTGTAACGATGCTATATGAAACCGAAATCGCGACACTCAGATCCACGAACCTGCAGAATCGCGACACACCCCTTCCAACTCCAAGAGTTATCCTTCCCGTCCAGATCCAATGCTACCACATCTTTAAATTACTATTAGTATTATTTGAATTTTGAAGTTAACATTATAAAATACGTAGACCTACACCACAAAACTAATTGAGGATAAATTATTTTAAATTGGGGAATTCCAGCGTTTTGGACGTGACATTTGAAATATAAATTCTCAGAAAATGCATTTAATACCAATATATTGAAACGTCTGTTTATCCATAGGATACCCCCTTAAAAGAGTCCAGACATTAGAAAAATATCAGTCTACACATGCGTTTTATATTTAATATGATGGAAATACACGCATTCATGCGTGACAAAAAAATATTTAACTTTTAGGAGGCAAAAGATTTTTTTGTAATTCGGTGAATTACACTGCACAAATCAAAAATAATACTACCCACCGGATGAAGAAGGGTTGGCTCTCCACAGAACATAAAATATTCATTTTATTTTATTTTTCGTGCTCGCATTCATGAGGAAAAAACTATGTAGGCCTACGTGACAGTTCTCCGTTACGGGCGCGACCGCTCTGAACCGGCACTAAAAGACTGTTTTAAAACTTTCACAGAGACTTCAAAAAGAAGACACAAATTTCTTTAAAGTGAATTTCGATTTGTACTAATTGTATCTTAATTTTATTCAATGTTTCATCAACCAATTGCCTGGATTTAATAAATAAGAAGTAAATATAGCAGACAATAGATAATCACGACATGGAGGCGCCTGCGCGTTAACTGGAGCGCGTCTCATAAATTAACCGAAACTCAGCGTAGGCTATCTCACAATAAGAACTGGCCGATCTTCTTTGGTCCATGAGGACGAGATGCACTGTAGGACTTAAAGCAGCTGGTGGGCATCTGATATTGAGCCCTCCTTTGTTCAGGGACTCATTGTTCCATTTTTGTTCATCAAATGTTTGTGAAATTTGTTCTGAGGAAAAAAGTCAGAATTGCGAGTTTATATCTCACAATTCTGAGATAAGATGTCAGAAATGTGAGATATAAACTCGCAATTGCGAGAAAAGTCAGAATTGCGAGTTTATTTCTCGCAATTGTGACTTTATAACACGCAAAGTCGCAATTATCTTTTAAAATGTTTTATTCTGTGTCAGAAACAAGCTTCCTGGTAAGATGTGTAATTAATTTATCACGTTGTTTCACATATTAAGCGTTACATCATAACACTATCTACATACAGTGTTGGGTAAGTTACTCAAAAAAAGTTATTACTACCGACTAATTACATCTTCAACATTGTATTTAGATTACTGTACTATTTACTCTCTGAAAAGTATCGCATTATTACTAATTTCTGTCTAAATCCCATATCAACCTCAACTGGTTGAACAATACAAGGATAGACACGAATGATATAAAATTGCACAAATTATTCTTGAGCTGACCAAAGTATTTTGATGTTAAATCCACTATTGTTTTATAATTGTTCTATACAGTGTTTTATGGAATTACATCAGAATTGACTGTAATCCCTTACTTAACCTTTTCAAGGGAAAAGTAAATAAATGCTGAAAAATGAATTACACCCAACACTGGCTACAGATAATACATAGTACTATTACTAAAGATGTGGACAAGTACTCTTTAAGTGATGCCATATTCGATAATGTAAAGTAAACAATGATCAGTCACGAGTCAGATGGGGACCTCGTTCTTAATTTTAGAATTTTAACAATTTTCAGGCACTTATGAGAGAGCGCAAGAAATATGAATAAAGACGGAGTGCAAATGAATCCTACATCTACCACGCAATCGTTAGACAGGCTCTAAAAAATATTGAAAATACACAGTGCAGTAAAAATCGTGAGATCCGTATATTATTACATGTATTATTTTTAAAGAACGTTTCAAGAATTGCACTTTCATCCTTACGAACTTCCTACACTTTATTTGAATAAATCTCCTAACTTGTTCCTTAAGAAGGTTTTTGTGACTCGGCCCCCTGAATGTTTCCTTTGCTTGTGTGTCCCATTGCAGATATAGTGCACTATTACCTGTACTGCAGCCAGAGTCTTCCCAATCCGTTCCAGCAGGTAAACGATTCAATTCCTCCCTGAACTCCTGACACAATCAATTAACGGAGCTCGCAGATTCATTTGACCTCTAATTGAAGCGAATACCCGTGTTAAAGCCATTATAACGTTTCTGTAAAAAAAAAAAAAAATCTGCGTGGCTAATTCAATTATGAATAGGCGGTATGAAAATAAACTTTGATCAAAGAGGGTCTCTTTTGTCTGTAGTTTTGTGATAATTAGATTCGTCTGGCTTTCTCGCGTCGCCTTTGGGAATCCTGCGAAAGCTTTTCCACTGATTTAGACGTTTATTATGTGCTGGTTAAGCTCCTGTTTTGGATGATCATCTATTACAGTAAACGTCCTGAGGGGAAGTCATGAAGCAAATATAAGACACATGTAACCATTAACCAAATGTAATCCCTTAATGAGTGTAAATGCATATCCTCAGCAGGGATTTATGGCCTTTTACTAGTCGTTGCATTAGCATTAGCATTAGCATAACCTATGGCATGTCTGTGTATTAATCCTTCGGGTCAGAGATTCGACTGCTTTAGCTCACGTGTTTTGCTGTTGTTTCTGTGCTGCAGTCTCTGACCATCTTCCAGAGGTCTCTGACCACCATGCAGATACAGGTCCAAGGTTTGCTGCAGTTTTCTCTCCCTGTGTTTCCGACTGCAGAGGTGAGAGTGCTGTCAAAGATAGATGAAATAAAGAGTTCTGCATCCCATTCTGTACCTCCTTTTTTTCCAAACTTGATTCACTTCCCCTATGAATCATTTCAGAAAGATCTTCTAGGAATTCAGCGTCTCTTGAACTCCTCGGAGTTCAATTTGCACCAGCTCACCGCCTCGCTGGACTGCCGTAGTCTTCATAAAGTGAGTCATCCTTGTACGAAAAATAATATTTTAACAGTTTGTTAGTCTGGATCTGGAATAGCCAGACTTTTACACTGTAAAAAAAAAGAAAAAAAGTTGCTGGCTTAAATCTTTAAGTACAATCAACTTGGATGTTTAAGTAATTTCAACTTAAATGACATTAAACTGACTCTTAAAAAAAACAAGTTAAATCTTATTTAAATTTAAACAAAAAGTTGAAAGTTACTTAACTTATTTTGAGTTAAAGCAATGTAAAAACATATGTTGTCATATCTTATTGATTATTATACTTTTTACAGTGTACCTATCACCAGTTTTCACATTATTTTAATAAAAAAAACGGCCACAATGACAAATAAGAATGTCCCCCAAAAAAAAGGAAAAATCTGTCAATATTCTCTTTGTATTCATGTTGGTTTCATGGGGTTTAAAAAATAATTTATTGAATTTCAGATAGATATGAGTTTCAAAAGCATTAATTACTTCATTATTAAGCTTAAGTATTATTTTTGACAACTTTACACTTTTATAACCTCAACTAACCTTGCCTTTTCATTGATATTTTAATATTCTTGATATTTTAAGAATAAGGATAAGGAAAAAGGGTGTCTGTTTTTTTTCCTGCTTGTTGGTTGCACCACTTTTTAGTTGGTTGCTCATGTTGATCTAACAGCGTTCTGGTTGTGCAGGACTATCTGGAGGCTCTTCTGGGCGTTTGCTATGACGGTGTGGAAGGGCTCCTGTATCTGTGCCTGTTCTCTCTGCTGGCAGCCTGTGCCTTCTGTGCCCTGCTGTGTGCCGTCCCACGAGCCTGGACCCTCATCGTCATCAGGTACCATTCCTGTTGTGTCATTGCGGTGCATGGCATCGATCGATGTCGCTGACAGGTGCTTGTTTGCTCCTCAGGGACAGGGATTATGATGATATGGATGAGGAGGACCCCTTTAACCCTTCGAGGCGCATCAGCGCGTATAACCCCAGCCGAGCTCAAGTTCACAGTTTCTGCAGTTACAGCAGCGGCATGGGCAGCCAGACCAGCCTTCACCCTCCGCTGCAGGCCACATCCAGCACACCAGAGTACATGTGAGTGTGTGTGCGTGTGTGAGAGAGCTGTTGTTTTCTCTCATGCTTGACCCACTTATCTTTCCTCTTCTCCTGCAGGAACCAGTCCATGCTGTTTGAACGCAATCCTCGCTATGAAAACGTCCCATTGATTGGGAGCGGTTCACCACCTCCATCGGTATTTTGATTTTTAATCTTATCGACTCAATTTTACTCAATCCTTGTATGTTCGATGGATTTCACCAACTATTGATTTTTTTTTAAAAAGGGTTATTTTTTCATTATTAACTGGTAATTCTTAACTCTGTGAGGTAGGGAGCTCACAATCTGCACAAGCCTGCAAATTAAATCGAAGCAGGGCTGTTTTTAATTCATTTTCATTCATAATTTAGCATTAACAACTAATAGTAATTTCTCCGTATTTCCTGTCTATCTGTCCCTAAAGGACAAAATTAAAGCAACGTTTTTTTATTAATTTTTAGTCAGTTATTCTATATGCTACTGTTCAAAAGTTTGGGGTTCAGTAAGATTATTTAAAAAAAAAAAAATAATAATAATGATTTTATTCAGCAAGGGTCCATTAAAGGAATAGTTTATTCACGTACTAATATGAACATTTCCGGATTATTTACTCGCCCCCAGGCCATTCGGCCGAAGAGAAATTTATGTTTTTGAGGAAAACATTCTAGGATCTAATGCAAGTGAACTGGGATCACATTTTTGACGGTCCAAAATCCATATTTAGACAGCATTAAATGGCCCCACAAGACCCCACGACCAAATCAGCATATTATAAGGATTTCTGAAGGATCATGTGACACTGAAGACTGGAGTAATGGCATTTAAAATTATAAAATATACAATATTACTGGGGTTTTTTTAATCAAATAAATTCAGTCTGAATGAGCACAAGATACTTCTTTCAGAAACATTAAAACCTTTGAATGGTAGTGTATATTTCCAATAATTCTAAATTATAGCAGATATTTTGGCATGAATGACATCGTAATGTTGTAATACTCCTGTTGCTTTGTGGGATTGTGGTGCACAAGATCATGAGAACTGAAGCTTTAAAGCAGATATGGAGCATTACTGCCCCCTAACGTTTCATTTTTTCAGTGGAGTATCCATGCAGATAGAAAGGGGAATAATGAGAAATCACTATTAGTTGTTAATGCTAAATTATGAATGAAAATGAATTAAAAACAGCCCTGGTTTGATTTAATTGGAAGCCAGTATTTCTATCAGTCTCGTGCAGATTGTGAGGTCTAAGATGAATCATAAGTGAACACGGGTGTAATGGAGAGGATCGTCTTCAGAGTCGTGTTGGTTGATGCATCGCAGAAGGCGTAAAACTCATCACAGGACAGTCTTCTGTCTAATGAACCGATTCCCTACTTCATTTTTAACTGTCAAGTCGCTGTATTCACACAGAGATATTTTACAGCTAATTGAGTTCTTTTCCTGTCTTTTATCACATTTTGAAGTTATATCCCCAGACATTTAGAAACAGTAAGTGAGCCCACTGCCCTCCTCCCTACTGTGCTTCTGCCTTCCTTCAACATGCCTTTGTCCTCATTTCCTTCATCAGACGATATCTTCACCCAATCCATAAACGTTCTGTACGTCCCTATAAACCTTAAGAGCACTGAGCCGGTTTTGAGGTTGTTGCCTTTTGCTTTTTTTTGCCCAGAAATTCATCAGTATCGCTCAGCTCTTTTCCTGCACTAATACATCACCTGAAGGCTTGTTCACACATACAGTGATTTTATTTCTGGAGGTTTCTGTCCAGGCATTACTGTTGTATTAACGCCCGATACATGGGCAGAAACACATCATATAGAGCAGAGAAATTGCTCCCAGTAACTCCTCCATCTTGCAGACATCCACGGTGCTTTGGGACGTTCGTATTTACAGATGTTGTAATTATGGGATGTTGTAATTATGACGTCAGGTGTGTTCAAGTCACTTTGGTCGAAGCAAGATGGTGGTGTACCTTCTTTATTAACTACAAAAAACAAATAGTTTTGTTTTTTTTAAACTCCTACTAAATAAATAAAGAACAGCTCATGTATTTCAGGGGGCTTTTTTATATATATTGGGACGCACCTCTTAATTCATGATTGCAGGTGTTTCAATCAGACCCACTGGTATTAATATTATTATTCTGCTTATACTGCGGGTACCACACCTCAAAACATTGTATTTCAAGATATTTGTCAGGATTTTGTCATTTAAAACACTTGTATGTGTAGGACTAATTTCTTGCACATCTCATCTCAAGCCTCCGTTGTTAATTCCAAAATGTAATTTTAGAGATAGTAACAGAGGCTTGAGTCACTGATAGCAGACTAATGCAGTTATTAATGCAGTTTATTAAAACTTTATTTATTTGCTGGGTCAGTGTCGTTGTTGGTTTTGGTTCTTTTGCTGTTTAAAATAACTGAAATCATTTGGCGAAGTGATATGGAACTGTCATGCGGTCGAGAACTGCCTGGAACTACTTTAGCCGTTCGTTTCCCTGAAAATAATATTGCACATCTTAGAACGTTCGTCAACCAATCAGATTCAAGCATTCAACAGCCCGTAGTATAATATTGTATTGTAACTATAATAAACATTTATAATAATATTTTTGCCCTTTGTGCATGTAACTTGGCTAGAAGAAAACATGATATAATAAATAGTAAAAAAATATATATATAATTGTAGAGTGTGCACTTAACTTCTAAATACAATCTTTCCAACATTACTTGAATGCACCATCATCTACACAGTATCTGGCGGGAAACAGATCAGTCACAGGCTGCGTCCCAATTCGCCCCCCATACCCTTAAATAGTGCACTATTAGAGGGGACAGCATTTGTAGTGGTGTCCGAAACCATAGTGGACGTTATCGAGTGCGCTCATTCAATCCCACAATGCACCGCAATAACGAGTATACAAGTGATGTACCCTCAACGGATAGAGAATACCCATAATGCACTGTGAGAGTCGCGCGCTGAATGAATTCCTGCGTCTTGCCAGAAGATGGCGCCATCTATTTTACAAACTGCTGCTCCAGGGTAATATCATACAGGTATAAATTTTGTTTTTATTGACTATTAAATTGTTTAATTAAGGTTTATACATTAGTTTCACGAAATATTTTCTACTGGAGCTGTTTGCTAACTTCACAAACTATCCAGTGTCCGAATTAACTCACTCGTTTTCATTCACTCTTTCAAGTGAATTATATTAGTGGAGTAATGTAGGGGATAGTGAATGAGGGTATAGGGGGCGATTTCAAACACAGCTAGTCTTCACTTTTATTGGTCACTGCACTGTTCATTAGCATAACGACACTGGACACGCCCACTTCACATCACAAAAGTTTGCTTTAGCTAATTTTGCCTCATAGTTTCTCACTGCCGATCACTGTATGCGTGCGTGAACAAGGCTTGAGGGTCTTTTGCCTGTGGCTTTCACACATGCCATTATCCAAAGTCGATCGAATACAGTGTTTATCTTCCTGTTTCTTTATCAACTGCAGTATTCACCCAGCATGAGGACCACTTACCTGTCCATGACTGATGCCCAAATCAGACACTTCGGGACAGACTTTCAGGTGTAGGTTTTCTGGGTCCTCTTCCCAAAGGAGTCTCTGGCAGCGTGAGATGAAGATTAAAAATCACTCAACGTCTTCAAAGCATCTCAAAGGACACGTGGATGGTAAAGCACAAATAAAATGCGCATTAAAGGGAGTTCTCAAAGAGAACTGAATGCCATCCAGAGTAGACCTTTAAAGTCCTCTTCTCATTTAGAAGGCAAAGATTACCTCAGAGGTTTATGGGTGAGCTCTGATCACGTGTAAATATTTGCTTATTCTCCTCAGGGGCTCGTCAGATCATTAATATGTTTTCTGTGACAATAATGGACTGGATCAGAAAAAAATATATATCTTAAAGGGATAGTTCACCCCAAAATGAAAATTGAGTCATTACCTACTCACCCTCAAGTTGTTCCAAACCTGTATGAATTTCTTTCTTCTGCTGAACACAAAGGAAGATATTTTGAAGTATGTCGGTATAACCAAACTGTTGATGAGCCCCATTGACTTCCATAGGAAAAAAACAACAAAGTCAATGGGTGCCGTCAAATGTCTGGTTACTGACATTCTTTAAAATATCTTATTTTGTGAGTAAATCCACAGGTTTGGTCAGATGTTTGGGTGAACTATCCCTTTAAATGTCTTTGAATAATAATACTTCAGCTTAGGTTGTGCAAATGGCGATTAATAGCTCAAATTAATCACTTAAATAGAAAGGAAAAAAGCGGTTGCATTTTACCACACAAAGGCCTTGAGCTCCATAATGAGCCTTAAATGAATATTTCTCAGTACTGGTTAATGATGCAGCCTGAGAGAAATGATCAATTGGGATGGCTCTCTGCGATCTGACAGACTAAATGGTCTTGAATATATTTTGCATGAGGAACGAGGTGCTTTGTTTGGTGCCTCTCGTTAAATATACTTCTATGTTGTGATCATGTGATTTCGCCTCGTGAATGTCTGTATTCTAGTAGGCTAGTCAAATAGGTCTGCTATTCATACCAGACAAACTTCACGAGGCTCACAGCACACAACAAAGATAAGTCATTTTCTGCAACAGTAGATATGGGGATGAACTATTTGGATATGTAAATCACTGACTGACTATTGTTGTTTGTTTGGTTCAAGCTTCCTGATGTTGCTCGTTGTGTACTCAAACTAGATCAAACAAAGCTGACGAAGCCTATTTTTCTAGGTTAAGCATTTTAATGTTTGTATTTTATTTTTTAAATGCTCAACATACTGCTGTTTATACAGACAGCTGTTTATGATACCAATGAATGAAAAAGAATCAAATTAGATTAGATGATAAATGTTGAATTCTACCACTATATTGTCTTTATTTGTCTGCATTTCAAAAGTGCTGTTTTTAATTGTTTATGTAATGCATTTCTGTGTCATTTAATTCAATAAATATTTTTTTTTATTAAGTTTATTATTTTTAATTCATGCTTCATGTTCAGTGCTCGCTGTGTGAAAATATGGTTTGGTAGAAGGAAAAATTATCCTGTCAACCAAATATTTTTTTGTAGAGGTGAAAAATAAATAAATAATATATATTAGATGGATAGATAGATAGCTATTTATATAATATAAATTATATATATATATAGGCCTATATATATATATATATATATATATATATATATATATAATATATAAACTTATAGAATGTATACATTATTTTTTATATAATTCTTATTAATATTTACACATTTTAAAGTGTCATTAATGTAAAACACTAAATCAAATATTATATATAAAATTGTATTTTGACAATTGAGTTTAATAATTCAATAACCGATGACGGGCAAAGGAGAATCCCAGTAAAAGATTTATCTGAAAGGTCAAATTATTCTATGACATATACATGGCATATGAGTATTTACTTATTGAATTGCCCATATTTTAATTAGAGATTTGTCGTAAAACATTGATGTGTCCACAAATCCCTAATTAACAAACAGACACGAAAAAAAAATAAAAACTTTGATATTCAATATAATGCAATGTCATAGATGCTATTTTCCAGAGACACAAAATTAGATAAATTAACCTCAAAACCGTTTCTCCTGACTAAATCTCACAAATGTTGATCTTCAGATGAAATGATCAAATTAAAAATAGCGTGGCCATTCATCAAAAGTGCTGAGATGAGATTGTGTATGGTCAGGAGAAGAAATTATAACTTTACCAGCTTACCCCATGTTACCCTATATAAATGAATGAATGAATGAATGAATGAATGAATGAATGTCCTTCATACACCTGTACAAAGCTAAAGAAAAGGGGCGTCAAATAGTCCCATCATAGACGCTAGAGGGCGCAGCGGAGGGCCTCCATAAACAACACGCGCTTGAAGAGCCATGAATACAAAACGCTTGACACAGCGGAACACATCTTTCCCATGTGTTTTGAAGTAAAGAGCAGCTAGCCTTTCAGATGAGATGTAATATTAGAAGAGAGGCGGGGATGTGGTGGTTTATTCGCGATGGGTAATGTTTTCGGCAGACAGAGACACCTCAGTCGAGTGACAGAGCAGGACAGGGCGATATTGGTAAGATCCATAAATAAGTCGATCAGCACCATCACACTCTCATACACAAACACATGCGCACCTGTGTTGGGTTTGTGTCGTTGCATACACGTGTAAACATACTATAGTCTAGTGCGTCTGAAATGAGTTCATACTGAACTGCGAATAAAGGATTAGATCAGCTGTCCTACTTTACAGAACACAGAATAGATGTCTGTAGAAACGAGTGTATTATATGTTATATATTATAGAACACAACAGTACAGAGTCTGTAGAATAGAGTAGAACAGATCTGCGTCGACTATTGAATAGAAAAGAGTCTAGTATAGTATAGAACAGAACAGTTTATTATAAAATAAAGTACTACAACAGAACACAGTCTATTAAAGAATAGAGTATAGCACAACAACTTTTACTGAATAGAATGAAATGGAATAGTATCAATTGTAGAACATAATGTATAAATAAAATTAGAATAAAATGCAACAAGTGTAGAATACAGGTGAACAGAGCTGTATATAGAATACACAGAACAGATAGAATAGAGCAGAACAGATCTGCATTGATTGTAGAATAGAGTAAAATAGAACACGGTCTGTTATAGAACATAACAATGTTCGAGAATAGAGTTTGTTATAGAATAGAGTAGAACATATTTTATGAATAGAATGAAATGGAATAGTATCAATTATAGAACATAATGTATTAGAATAAAATGGGTAAAGTGTAGAATACAGGTGAACAGAGCCGTATGCTATAGAATACAACAGAGCAGGTGTAGAACAGAATAGAGCTGAACAGATCTGCATCGATTATAGAATAGAGTAAAACAACAGTATGTTATAGAACATAATGTTCGTGAATAGAATAGAACAGTGTACAATATATTATAGAACAGAACAGTTTATTATAGAATAGAGTAGAACATTTTTCACAACACATCTTTTATTGAATAGAATGAAATGGAATTGAATCGATTATAGAACACGATGTTTTAGAACAATATGCAACAGAATTGTATTAAGCAAAATAGAACTATAGAATAATGCGTAGAAAACAGAACAACGTTTAATAGAATATATAATTTAGATTTACCATAGAATTTATAGGCTATTCTAGTCTACACTAAAATGTAAATATAAACTTACAATATAAGCTAATTAAAGAGGATGACTTACATTTTTCAATTAATAAAATAATTCAATTATTTAATTATTAATGTTATATGATATATTTTTTTATGTATTAATGTTTTATATAATATTTAAAGTGCTAAAAATGCATAAATTCAACATTTATTTTCCCCTCCTCAATAACTATTGTTTATTCAATATCAAATAATCACAGTTTCTATTAATAAGACAAGTTAGAAAACAAGCAGCATTGTGTTTGGACAATGTCTGTTTGAGTGGAGTCTGCACTCTTATTTATCAGAACACACATTGTTCACTGTTGCACACAGATCCATGTCTGTTTATTCATCTAAGTCGAGAAACTGGCACCTTTATGAATAAGAAGTGCTTCTGTAAGTGAACTGTCATGTTTCTACATCACATCCTGTCACTGGATCACAGCAGCTGAAACAGCAGAGAGATAAACTGAAACAATACCAGAAGAAAATCACATTACAGCTGGAGAAAGAGAGACGTCTGGCCAAACTGCTCCTGAAGGATGGCAAGAAAGAGTAAGACATTTCAGATGATGCAACCATTCATGATATCCGATCACCCAAAGTCACCCATCATGCATTGCACAGTGCCTTTTATTGTGGTGCCACATGGCCAAAGTGATTTTGGTTGAACAGATTCACTAACACGTGTGACTCATGCATTTCACAGGCGAGCTCTTCTGCTGCTCAAAAAGAAACGCTACCAAGATCTCCTGCTGGACAAGACCGAGATCCAGATAGCCAACCTGGAGCGCGTGGTGGGTTTACATGATATGATTCATATTTAACTATTAAATCATTAAGAGATATAAGATATGAATTACATTCTGAATATGCCTCATTCAGGTTCAAGATATTGAATTTGCTCAGATTGAAGTAAAGGTCATCGAGGGTTTAAAAGCTGGGAATGACTGTCTTAAGCAAATTCATGAGGTAAGTCTCTATATAGACTGAAACTAGTTTAAAGTCAGCATGAAATGGAAGTTGAGATAGTCTTTTGGCATGGATGGTTCATTGGTCTGTTTTGGTGTTGTGCAGTGGGCGATGTAGTTCGTAACAGCATGTTTTGGCAACTGTTGCTCATTGTTTTGGGATTAAAGGCTTAAACCTAACACTCTTAGATTACAGCAGAGCTGACCTGTCTTTGTTTTGTCCTGGGCTATAGTACCATGAAGACCTCCGAATCTCCAGAGTCCCTCGAAATCAACAACAGGAGGGAAAAAAAAGGCTTTTTTCGCTAAATCCCACATTTAAAGCGCAACTACCTTAGTAATTGTTGCCGCCCATTATATTATCAGACAAAGCTTTTGCTGTTTTCTAATACAAGTCTTTGGAGGATTTGTGTGTTTGATTCCCAAATGTAGAACACGAGTAAGAACACCAACTGTGTATTTGCTACAAAGTAAATTAATATTGTCTAATAATATAATATAACGGTTCAAATGTTTGGGGTTGGTAAGACTTGTAATATTTTTGAAAGACTCGTATGCTTACCAAATCCCGTTATGCTATTTTAAAGGTTCCTAAGTTTTGTTTTGAAGGTCTCCTGCACTAGGATATCCAAATGTCAAAAAACTCTTTCATTTGTTATTTGTTCAGTGAGCAACAGTAACCAAATGGGGGTGGAGGTTAGCGAAAGGTCAATAATGTTATGAATATTTCCAAAGTTTTTTTTACTGGTCTATTATGAGCATTTGACTGAAGTAAAAAAATTTTTGTCACGGATTGATCTTTTATCTTCTCAGGTCATGTCAATTGAGGAGGTGGAGAGAATACTGGAGGAGACGCAGGAGGCCATTGAGTATCAGAAGGTTATAACTGTCACATTCAGAGCGACGCTAAATACACTTTAAACACTTCCAAATCTATGACACTCGTTGCATTGCATTACATAACACAATCAAACAAACCAAGTGGCATTTATATTAAAGAAAGGCCGCACAAGAACACTCTTAATAAATGTTTCTTGAGCATCAAATCAGCATATTAGACTTATTTCTGAAGGATCATGTGACATTGAAGACTGGAGTAATGATGCTGAAAATTCAGCTTTGACATCACAGGAATAAATTACATTTTACAATATATATATAAAAAACAAAACAATTTTACTGTTTCACAATATTACTGTTTCAAATAAATCCAGTCTTTGTGAGCATAATAGACTTCTTTCAAAAACCTAAAACAATTTTACCGGGCCCAAACTCTCGAGTCGTAATGCACAACCACTAAAAACCACCAAATCACCAATTTATTTATTACAAAAAAAGCTCATTTAGTTCTTTTTAAGTGTGTCTTGCCGCGATTGTGACGTATAATCCACACAACCACAACGTCTTCTGGAGCAAAAAGATAGGTGTTGTCTAAGAGAAATACTAATATTTGAAAGAAACTCTTTTAACTATAAATTACACTTCCGGCCTACTGTCTTAGACGCGTTCACAAGTTCAGTTTGCTCGAGAAGTAATATATGAAAGCTCAAAGGTTCGCCACTTCTCATGCCAACTTCACAACATCACGTGTCACAACGTCCATCTCATGAACGCTCGTATGACAGTAGACCGGAACAGATGCTTTATAGTTAAAAGAGTTTCAAATATGAGGGGGTTTTTTTGCTCCACTGTGGGCATAGGCGTCATTTACGGGGGGGACGGGTGGGACATGTCCCCACCACTTTTGGCCAGGGTCGATATTGTCCCCACTACTTTTGAAACATCTCGCGGCATGAATGTACCAAATACCAATACAAATAAATCATCTCCAGTTAACTAGAAGAGTATTCGTTTCGTTCGTTTGTTGAATAAGAGGCATTCTAGCGCTGAAATGTTGTTGTTTTTTTAATCAAGTGATCATGTGCTCGTTGCCGCTGCAGACAGATACTATTGAGTGGCGCGGATACAGCGCACGCGCCGCAATGTCTTCACTCGGACGCACGCTTCAATCCGTTGCGGAGATTCTCTATTCGTTCCGGTGAAATCACAAAACAAAAATGCAAACAAACGTGTCTCTGCTTGATATACAACCACTGATAAACATTATCGGTTTTGATGAGGGGAAAAAAAACGATACGAGTGCGGATTAGAACCCAGAACCTCCGACACGCTTGGCAAAAATTCTACCACTGGACCATTACAATACATGTGTACAATAGACGGATCTATGAATGTATTTACGTAAAGATCATGATACTAACTACATATATTAGATCTCATTGTATGACCAATTAAACCAAAAGTAGGCTACTATTTAACCCCCCCACCCATCACATTTTTGGTCGGACATCATCACATCTTTGTGTACATTTTTTTATTTACATCAGTAAGCTACAGGACATCGTCTTTCAAAACATGACCTGCGCCAAAGAGAAAATAAATAAATAAATAAATGCGTCATTGTACCCAGCACTTTTGAAAATGCACTTACGAATGCGTCTCTGTCCCCAGCACATTTTCAGAGCATGACTGTGGGCGTATTGATTACGATTATACGATTATATTCCGAAATAAAATATTGAATTCAAGGTTCTCTGCCACACTGCTCTTCCCTGGTTTTTATTGCTTCGAATGTCTAACTGCTTCTTGAAACTTCTTCCCTAACAGCAAATTGATGAACTGCTGGCGGGTTGGTTGACACCGGAGGATGAGGATGCTGTGTTAGCCGAGCTGGAGGCCATCACTCAGGTATGGCATCTTTACCTGTCATCCGTCTTCATCGTCCCTCGCTGGTCCTGATCCAACGCCTCTCTATCTCTCTCTCTCTCTCCGACCCGGCCAGGGAGAAGACATAACCCTTCCAGAATTACCCACAGATCCATTGCCAGCGGTGCCTACGGGAGAGACAGGTGTTGTTTTAGTACTGTCAAACACAGCGGTGTGTGAGAGAATGACATGGCTTTTTTATTTGGCTTTCCGTTACTCTCTTTGTGCTCTGTGTCTTTGCAGAGAGAAAAGAGCCGGAGCGAGAGATGCTGGCAGCGTAATGTGTGATCTTACAACCTGGCTCATCACTTTGGTCTTCTTAATGAAAGGAAGAGCTAGGGGAATATAATTGAGAGAAAAGAAGGCTTTCGTGGGATTATTTAATAGGCACGCGTCAGAAGCATTTCCCACGGTCATGGGAAACTTCAGGGAATGTCAGGGGGGGGTTTACTTTTTTGGATTTCCAGACTTGAAAAAGTCACGAATGTCATGAAAAGGCCGGTTTACGGTAAATCGTGAGAATTAAAATGTGTTCACAAACGATTCGAATCATTGGTCAAAGACGTGGAATCCTTGTAGAACAGAAATGCTGTTGTGACAAGAACAGAAGCACTAATCAAGTTGCTTTGGATAAAAGCATCTGCAAACTGCTTATAAATGACATAGTTTACAGTGAGTTTCTACATATGTTCTTCTATTAAAACGGCTATTAGTTTTAGTATGTTTTAGTATGTTCACATTTGATTTAAACTATGAACTATGAGAACTTTTAAGTAGCAAATTTCAATACTTTTTTTTTAGCCTTTTCATGTGTGCAAAAATCTGTGTATTCTTATCTACAATGTAAACTAGATTGATTTCGTGGCTGTGCCACTTGGAGGTGTGTTAGCATCACATGACCACCAGGGGGCTCTTAATATCACTAATTGAGAGGAAATAAATCTGTGCTGACATATAAACAAAACTGACAATCCTCTTCCGATGGATTAGTTTGTGTTTGTAATGTAAACCTTCTGTTCATGTATGGAAGTATTATATGAATCTGTGCATGTTATTTTATGTATATCAGTTTTAAAATTGAATTCCATGCCATTGATAATGTGTGTATATATATGTGTGTTTGTGTATATATTATATATATGTATATGTATATGTGTGTGTGTGTGTGTGTGTGTGTGTGTGTGTGTGTGTGTATAATTTTTTTTATGCCAATCTATTGAAAACTACTTACCAGTGATCACAAACGAGTGGAAGAGTCATGGATATTCACTGGTAAAGTAGTTCCATTGAAAACTTGGGAAAAACAATCAGATGAAGACGTACTATACGATCTAAATGGTTTTCTTTCCAACAAACTTTACACATTTATCTTACCCAGTGTGTAAGGGATTTGCTCTGAAAATGACTAATAAAAGAACCTGTTTTCTGCAGTTTCTCATATTCGAAGTGTACATAGCCAAACCTGACACATAAAACAATGAAATCATGTTAAACAATGAAGATCAATGTCCAGGTAGCTCTAGAGAGGAATCACATCCGGGGACAGGGCAGGCGCAGGTGAGCGTAGCCACGCCCCCAGTGCGCGTTTGATGTATGGGGGCGTGGCTACGTATGTAAGCCCCTCCCCCTCTCTGTTGCCTCCGCACGGTAGTGTTGAGCTGAGATCAGACTCCCGTGGATCGGAGCAGAGATCCGCAGCTGACCCTCATCACACAGACACACTGTTCGGATAACACATCACGTGCAGCAAAACACCGTTTATGGTTTTAACTGAAGATTTCACCATGTCTCGCACCGACGAGGTTCACCGCATTACGGAAAATGTCTATAAGGTAAAGTGCAATGATCAAACTGTTGGAACAACTTCTCGATCACAGGTGGTGATGATCTAATAGGCGAATACATGTGTAACGAAAGTGGATGCTTTATATATGAGTTATCGTCGTTGTTCATTGTAGTGCTTAAGATCGTTGTCTTGAGTGGGTTTATGGTTAGATTTTGTCATCAATGAACTTGATGAGTGATCAAGTTTCTCTCTAGTTTCATTTAAATGAAGCTCACCGGGAGAACAGAAATGATTTTGCATTCTTCCTTACGAAAAGAATAGAATACTCTCTCTCTCTCTCTCTCTCTCTCTCTCTCTCTCTCTCTCTCTCTCTCTCTCTCTCTCTCTCTCTCTCTCTCTCTCTCTCTCTCTCTCTCTCTCTCTCTCTCTCTCACACACACACACTCTCTCACTCTCACCTATCTAGTGATCGACGATCACTTTCTACGACACATTAATGTTTAAATGTCCGATTACCGATACTTTTTACGAAAATATACAATACATATTTTGCTTAAATGTTTGTTTATTTCTTTGTTTTTGAAATACTATAACAAAAACCATTATTTTTATTATGAATATTTAAGTTTATTTTTATGATTTGTAATGTATGCAATTACATTTAAGCTACGTTTGCTAAGTGGTCACAGTTGATTATGTAATGTAAAGTTTTATTTTTCCCCAGAAAAACTGTATTGGTGGTTGTGTTTATTGGTATGTGCTCTTTTGGGCATTCCAGCATAGGTGGTTCAGGGAGGGCGTGCTGGTGTGTGTTGCAACAGGTTCAGTCAATGTGTGTGTCTCGTCAATGTTTCCATCGATTCCCAAAAGGTTTGTGTTGCAGTTTTTGGCTTGTAACTTTAAAAAAAAGTTAATACTTGCCACACCAGTAGGATTACAGCTCTCATCAGATACTTAAGCCTGTTAAATAGGCCACCTGAAGTCCAACACCTAAAACGAGGACAAAGAAACTATTCTGGTTGATCAAGGCCAAGCGGATGTCTCCTGTATCTGGGGTGTTACTCTTAAAGCAATGGAAACCTAACTATGAAGACTAGCTTACAGCACAATTGAATTCACATCATATTTTCATCTGTCTGACAGATATTTCAGTTCTAGTTTACTATGTCAGTCTGTATAGATTTACATTTCATAAACCTAAAGTGGGTTAGACCTCACGGGAAGACTTTGAATTAGACCACTAGCTGTCTATTGGTGATCTGCGTGTGTGTAGTCTGTTGTTTGACTGAGAATCGCTGTGTGCCAGTTCTGTGTTGGCGTCTTTCAGGGATGGTGCTCAGCTGGATCGTTCGTTCAAATCCACCCCCTATTCAGATAGCTTGTTAAATCGGCCAGCTAAAGAACATGGATTGAGTTCAAAAGGAGTGTAGTATTGATGAGTATGTATGTGTGTGTGTGAGAGAGAGAGAGATGAGATAAGAGGGGTAAACATCAGTGGAAGTGGTGGGATGTTTAACATCTGCTGAAGTATCACAGGAAAGATGGAAGCTTGTTTCTGCCAGGGTATATTCAAAAAAAGTTAATAAAAAATGTAATTTAGATTTTTATTTCACAATTCGTACTTTTCTCACAATAGTGAGTTTATATATTATAATTCTGACTTTTTTTCCTCAAATTTGTGAGGATCTCTAAATTGCAAGTTATAAACGCGCAATTCTGACTTTTTTCTTGGAATTCTGAGTTTAAATCTTACAATTCTGACTTAGTTTTCTCTGAATTCTAAGTTTACATCTCGTAATTCTGACCTTTTTCCTTGGAAATCTGAGTTTAAATCTCACAATTCAGATTTTTTTCCCCCCCTCCGAGTTCTGATTTTACATCTCGCAATTCTGACTTTTTTCCTCGGAAATATGAGTTTAAATCTCACAAATCGAACTTTTTTTCTTCGGAATTCTGAGTTTAAATCTCACAAATCGAACTTTTTTCCTCGGAATTCTGAGTTTAGATCTCGCAATTCAGGTTTTTTTTTTTCTTAGAATTGTTTGCATCTCTTAAATCAGTTTTTTGTTTCCGCCGTGGAATTAAAAAAAAAAAATGTAAAAGGTAATAGGTAGTTACCCCCTCCCCCCCCCGAATCTGACTTTTTCCCACAATTGTGAGTTTATATCTTATAATTCAAACTTTTCCCTCAAAGTTCCTTTGTGACTCGACGCATGGGTGTACCAGGGTGTGTGTGTGTGTGTGTGCGTGCGCGTGTGTGTTCAGTTGTTTCTCAACTGTGCACACAGAACACTCCCTACCTGTGAGCAATAGCTGTGATCCTGCTGGAGTTGCCATGGATTTAAAAACAGGCCTCACCTGTGAGTCACAGCCGGCCCTCAATCACTCATCCTCCTGGCATCAGACTCTCAGCACCAGGGCCCAGTCATCCAGACAGTGCCACACTCGGTCAGATCTCTCTAATCCCATCAGCCTCCAGGCGAGTACCAGCGGCAGGGCTGACAAGACCTTTGCCAGCTGGAGGGTGACATAACTGCTGTCCACTCACCTGTGTGTGTGTGTGTGTGGGTGAGCTGAGGTCAAGCCACTTATGTGCAGTTTGAGGGCAGACTCCTACTGTGTGCAAATGCTAAAGCATTGTTAGCATGCAGTGATATTGTGCTTGCGTGTGTTCTTGCGTCACTGTGGTGGTAACAAACCTCAGTACAAAAGGACTTGGTTCGGGAGTTACCTTTAAATATGTAACTCAAAGTTGTGGCTTTGATTCCTGGGCAAAACGTGTACCTTGCACTTACTAAAAATCTTCCTGGATTAAAGTGCCTGTTGAATATAGTGTACATGTAAAAATGGAGATTTCTAAACCGTTGAAGCTGCAGGAATTGTTTTGCTAACTGCTATTTTGCTAACTTTAGCCACACACCTTCTCTTCTATCTCTATACTTGCTTTTTATTATAAATTGTATTATGCAGTATTGTGTTAATACAGTAATTGTTGAAATCTAGAGAAATCCCATTTTTGTGCAGGCTAAAGTATGATTTCCTTCCTAACAGGGGATTACTTCGAATTTTTGTAGTGATTTATTGGGAACTCCTCCATTTCTGTTGATCAGGGTGTATTGAGAGACATGTGACGGGACAGGGCATGTCTCATCAAGTCTACAGGTGAAACAATGTGATGGGAGTGTCTCTAATACCTCTCCCTAATAGTCAACTTAGTGACGTAAACATGGTTACCATGTTCACTCAATCCAAGAGGAAACTTATAGGTGTGTCCATGTTTTTTTCTTTATCCATGCATGCCTGATATTGGAGAACCGCAAAAACAAGCAAAGGTTTCAATTACAATATGCATATTACTTTCCCATAAATCTGTTTGATGAAAGCATTATCATACCCAACAGGAGTAAAATTTCATTTGTCCAGGGACTCATTTCATCAGAGATCACCAGGAGCAAACAATATATCATTAATTTTTTCTATGTTTTTGAAAGATTGAGAGGATAAATTTTTCATGTAGGAAATCTGGAAAGGTAGTTTCTTAGCAACAACGTGCTACAAAATGTTTCTGTCATGTCATTCAGTGAGAGACACAGACCGCAGATAGAAACAGACATTGAGAGCATGTATTTGGTTATATTCATCAATAATCCATAAAAAGCTCTTGTTGTGGGCTAATGTGCTAATAGAGGAGCTGTTATAGTTTGCATTTCGCCTAGTTCTTAAAGGGACAGTTAGCCTAAAATGAAAGTTCTGTCATCATTGTCATTTAAAATCCCTTTTGAATTTCTTCCTTTACAACACAAAAAGACAAAAAAGCACCAGAAATGTATCAAAAGTAATCCATACAACCGTTTTTGAGGAACAGTACATTATTTACATTAAATGGTTGACAACTTGTGAATAGACTTGTGTGTATTCAAACCTGGCACCTAAACTGTACAACCTGCACGATTAATCGTTAAAAGATCGCGATCACGATTCAAACACAAGTGATCTCATTCCTATTAAACCTTTGACAAAATCACATCAGAACTTTCAAATCTGCAATCTGATCCAGAGAGAGCAGTTGTCATGTATAAGCATGAAACGGCTTCAATCTTTTCAACCACTCAGTATCATTATTTCTGTCTTACAGTAATTCGAATTATCAAAAAACTGGGATAAGATAAACACTGATGTCCACGGTAGCGATCAAAATGTAATAAATCTCCTTTTGAAAGTAACACGGCGCTTCAAATATCGATTGTATCGATTGTCGTTACACCAGTAGGTGGCGACAAGTGACTGTTAAAAAATGTCGTCACTGAATCATTCATTCAAGAGACTCATAAAAAAGCCATTACAACTGCAGCATTACATTTGTCAGAACCTCTAGTAAATTACGTGTTATTTTGTTTAGTTGTTTGATCAGATTTCAATCGTGATTTGTTTAGAACCAAAAAATCGTGATTTATCCAGAATCGTGCAGCTCCTTTACACCAAGATCATTGCATATGATGTGAAACGTTAGGCTATGGTTCTTGCGTGTCTTGTGATTGATTGTAGGGCTGCACAATTAATCGCAATGAAACCGCAAGCGATTTGGCAAAGGCTTTATTTTATGCGCAGTTTTGTCAGTGTAGTGCGGCTGATCCATAGTAAATGCTGCTCCGTCTGAATGCCAGAATGCCAGTGGGCGCTCAGTACGATAACGCACATCATTCCAGGAAATCTCTATCGCTGTAGCTGAATAAACAGAAGATTGAAACGCTTTGATTAAAGGTTCTCTAAGCGATCCTGGGTGACGTCACTTCTTGTTGACGTTCGAAATATTGTCAAACAAAACGGAGGCTAGCTAGACCCTCCCTCCTCCTCATCCGCACACTAACCCCCCAAACCACACCCCCAAACCCTTCTTGTCGGTCATTGGCTGGAACAGTTTGTTATGTTTCGTGGTGCGGGTCGCCGCAGTTTGTTTTTGTTGCCGTTTGTGGAGCCTGGGGTGTCTGCAGAGACCGCGTTTTTTACAGTGTGTTCAGGGGACAGGCAGCCAGCGGATAGTGAGGA